GTCGAAGAGGAGGGCAACTGAAGACTTGGCTCGACACCGACCGTCAAGACATGGAAGCAGTTCTTGGACCTTCTATCTTTGGCCGCTGTCGCTGGAGAAGAGACTGACTGGGGCTCTCCAGATCCACTACGCATGTAGAGAGGTACCGTTCATGACATCATTGAGGCCGGCTAGATTAGGCATAATCACAGCCGTAGCAAGTACAAGTTACGAAAGCCCCCGTGGTGTCCACCGCATTTAGCGCGTTTAAACAGAGGCAGCCATGGAAGAGGTTTATGGACACGAAATGATTGCACAAATTCTAGGATGCAGTTACCATATCATCTCCCACCTTTCGTCATAAAAATCTACCACATTAATACCTTAAATTGCTGCATATTTTCCAGCAGTGTTGACTACCGCAATGTGGCGATAGTACTTGGCTGACCACTCACCAGCCGCATTATTAATAAGAGGTTCAAGCAAAGTATCAGTACTGATTTTGCAGAGGAAATATAATTTTATACTCGGTAGTAGACCGTCAATCACCGAAAAAGGAGTCACGTGACTGCTGGGCATTTGCCTCTTCTAAAATACGAACGAAAATTCGGAAATTTGTTTTGGTTTCGAAAATATTACCTGGGTGTACTTGTAATATTAATTTTTTGGCAGCATGATCCAGAACGTTTATCAGTCCTTTCAGAACAACCGTATTTGGGCTGTGATGTTTGCGGTCAGCAACGACAACCACGCTCTATGGAGAGCACTAACGAGATAGTATTCATTTTCTCATGCATTTTCTCTGATGGTATAAATTCAAAAATACCTTCTTTAAAAACATTCCAAATAACGTTCTCTCTGTATGCGTCTTCTTCAAATTTTATATTTGGAGAAATCGTACGTTTTGTTTTAAAAAAACTTTAAACATTCGTGAATAATTATGCTTGAAACGTGTCATTACAACTGCATTCAGGATTTCTAAATTACATGCTGCCTGCATTCCGCCCAAGAAAATTCACACATTTCTCTTCGCAATGTTTAAAAAAACTGTCTCCGGTGCATATACGTTTGCAATGGATTTGGATACTCTATAAGCAGTAATGATTAATGCACAGTTACAGTGCTTTAAGAAAAGAAACTTCACGGTTTTCAAACATCTCATATGTTCAAAATGTCTTTAAAACCGAAAAGAACGTTTTATTTAAGAATAACTAAACGAACGTGTCCTTTTTTGTATAAAGATGTATTCAAAGTTATGAAGGCGCCTAAACTCACCGATAAAAATGTATACTACTTGAGGCGCGATTCATATAGAGCAGGGATCGGGAACGTATGGCTCGGGAGCCAGGTGTGGCGCTTTTGCTGATTGCATTTGGCTCTCTCAGATAGAATCCAGAGGCTTATCATACTCACATTTAATTTAATTAAATCTTAAAATGTATTATATGGCCCTCACTGAAATATATTACAAAATATTTGCTTTTTTGTCTCTCTCAGTCAAAAAAGGTCCCGACCTCCGATGTAGAGTTTAGTATTGGTAAGCGGATGGAACAATGCTTGTTAAACTATCAGTATTCTAGCGTGACTGTAGTCGCTTAGGTTATGCTGGATGCCAGCACATATTTTAACACTAGTTATGTTAGTATTTTGAATGGACTACAAATTTCAGCATTTTGGTTAACAGTTTATGAGGTAAAAACGACGCTGACAATGATTATAACACAAGCTTTCATCTAGAGAAGCAAAGTTTATCGTTCTGAATGCTTCAGTAATACTAACGACTGAACCACTCACTTAAAATTTTTCAACGTTCCTCAGTTAAACCGCAACGAATGATTATATTAACTCTGTGCTTCACAACATGGCGGCTAAGGACGGTGACTTGCACATAAATTAATTCATAATCGTAACGAACTGGAATGGCAGCCGTCTTTGTAGGTCATTTTTCTGTAAGTTTGTCGATCCTGTGCGAGTTCCTCCTAGGTCTTCGACTGCATTTTTAGCTTTAAAGGCCATCCAATTTTTTGGAGGTCATGCTATTTTTGGAGCGCAATCCGAATAGCGCCCGGTATGCCTTGATCTAGCCCTCGTGATGTTTCGACATATCTACCGCGCCGCCCGATTAGGAGGCCAGATCTTAAGTTCGAATGATCGCCTTAACGACATGTTTTGTTTTGTAGCTTACCAGGACCTTTAAAAGATTGTAATCCTTTTTTATTTAGTGTACCCAAGTAACCAAATTCAAAATGAGTAATTACACTACTAATACATCAGTAATTGAGGCGAACGTTCGCATCCCAGGTAGGTGTGTAGATGGAGAAGTAGATGGCGTTTCGATCACCGGAATCGCAACTTTTCTTGTCTGAGCAAACAAACGAGCCATGAATTGCTTAAAACCTGGGCCTC